GTACGCCCATGTGTGTACTGCCACAGTAAGTGCCCAATGACCCAAATCGAATCTGGGCCGATTTGATGGTCAAGGTAGTTCAAGAGTGTTTGAATTTTAATTTTTTTTTTATAAATCGGAATGATCTGAAATTTGGAGTGTATGTGCATCTTAGTGAGGTGCACTTAATAAAAAAATAAAACAAATAATTTGTAAAAACGTATTGACCAAAATACCCTTGAAACATTTCAAAGGAATTTTGGTCAATTTATTTCATGTAAAATAGTTTTTTTGATATTTTCGTAGATTCGCTTATTTTTTGATGAACACACGCTCTAAATTTTAGGTCATTCAAATTGGTAGAAAAAAAAGAAAAAGAAAAATGAAACACTACCAGACATCCTTGATCGTCAGATCGACCCAGATTAGATCAGGGCTGTTCGGTGTTTACTATAGCGGTACACGAATCAACGTACCGTAACATATTCCATATATATATATATAAAAGACACTTTTGAGTTTAAAACTAGTTATGCTATTAAAACAGTTGAACATAATATTTCTGTCAATAATGAACAGGAAAGCTTCCAATTACTGTCTGAGAAAATGTTACAAAAACATAAAGAAAAAGAATTTAAGTATCTGCATATAGGTTTAATCGAAATAGCAGTTAAGCCTTTAACTAGGTTAGGTCTAAATAATTCTATATTATTATGTTTAAGAGATAGTTGGCATAATAAATTTTCGAATTCACTCCTAGGAATAGTCGAGTTAAGCCCCTCTGCAATGGTCCTATATAGTTTAATTGTTTTCCTAACTTTTCTGTTTCTTTAACGGATCCTAATTTATTGAAAGTTCTCTCTCTAAATCTCAAAACACAGGGATTTGATATGTACCCTGGTTCCCAAAATATTGCCCTAATTTACAGAATATGTTATAAGGTGATGAACACCCTCAATCCTAATGTCCTCCAGATGGATACCAAGGACAAACAATATTCTTCCAGACAAATATCAAAAAATCAAATACTGTTGTTCCTAGAGCTATAACCTGGTCACAAATCACATTGCCTAAAAACTGGTCTATACATAATGAAAACCAGCAGTTTAGGACTCCAGTTAGCCGTGAACCAGACTAAATAATAGAATACCCCGATAGTAATATTGAAATACAATTTAGTTCCAATAGAAGACCTAGATTAAATTTCTCAGAAGGATATAGTAGAACCACTAGTAGGATACCAACTCCTTCTAGGCACTCTACCTCCTCAATACAAGATAGGCCAATAATAGAAGGACTAACTAGGACTGATAGTAATATTCATTTACCAATCTATAGAATCAATGAATCCCATCCAACTGGAAATGAACCGACCTTTTCGGATCTATATTTTAGTGTTTTAACACTTAAGGAAGAAAAGAAATTCAAAATGGATATAGATTCTTTAAAAAATGATTACCTTGCCGAAGAAAATAAAAATATAAGAGATTGGTATCTAGAAGAGTTTCCCCAGGAAATGTTAGATATCCTACACAAAAGGTATAATAAATTTGTAAAAAAGAATAGACAAAATATAGGATTTTTTATCTGGTTAAGGGCTATCTTAGAAGAAAAGGCCATTGTGGTTCTTAATTTTGAATTAAATGCCATTGAAAACCCATATCAAACCTTCTATACTGTTGAAGGCGAAGAGATGCAAAGTATACATCCGCCTGAAACAAACCTTCAAATAAAAGGAACTTTGAAAGAAAAACCCGATACAAAAGTTACCCCGTATAAGTTAATTAAAAAAAAAACGAACTCCATAGCCATAAGATAGATGTCATTCCTCATATAATCGAACAGAATAATTATACTAATCTATACCTTAAATCCATTAGTAAACAAACTAACAGGATTGAAAATATAGTTAGTAGGGTCCAATCCATAAAAGGAGTAGGAGAACCAACAAAGGCAGTCTTATTCAAACCTCCTCCAGAATTAAATAAAGAAAGGTTCAGCTTGGAAGGAATAAAAAAAAAAGAAGAAAATAAAGAATTAGTTGATGAGCAAATAAAAAAATTGTCCAACCTCAATATAAAGGAAGATAAAAAGGGGAAAGGTGTTATAGTTGAATCTGAAGCTTTGGTATTACAAGAAAACCTTGAAGACATACAAAACATGGAAAAAGCTTTTAAAGAAGACAATATTGGAGCAAGCATCAATCTTGGCCAAAGCATAAATAGAATAGATTATGGAAAAAAA